GTGCTGGTCTCTTTTCAGTGGTGGCCACTGATAGGACTAGAGGAAATGGCCGGAAACTGAAACACCAAAAATTCCATAGGAACTTAAGGAAAAATTTCTTAACAGTGAGGGTGACAGAGCACTGGAACAGGCTGCCCAGAGAGGTTGTGGAGTCTCCGCTTAAATCCTACAGATTCAATACTATTTGTTCTTCTAGATCACCTTTAGAATATATGGCTTTCTCCAAGGAATAAAGAAAATCGAACAAGAATATCTATTAGTATTATTTTCTTAATTCAACAGGCCTTGTCAAAACAGACAAAAGAAACCCTGTTAACACAAGAAGTTCTTGTTGCAGTAGTTTAGATTCAAATATAATCCTGCTTTATGATTATGGAGATCTTATTTTACACGCCAAAAATGCCTAAGGAATTACCGATCTATAAATACCATTCTTTATAAAAGCTATTAGATAGCTGTTATTATAAAAAAAAAATTCTCAAAGTATCACATAAAATGTGGTCATCTCGGGTGCAAGTAGAACACAGGACTTTAATCCAGGCCATGCTAGATTTGTAGCACAGTATTATCCATGATTTTAGATTAAAAACACCAGGAAAACATCACCAAAAATTGTAAAGCACTATCTCTGAGGCTTGGAGGAAAAAAGAATGGAAAATCTCTTGAGGTTAATTTATATGTCATATGTTTACAAGCAATTACACTTCAACGACAGGAGAATTAAGAATCTCCAAGTCTACAGTAGTAACATAGAAACAAAAAAAAATCGTATTAAAAATGAGTCATAATTCTTTGGCATTGGACAGTTATGGAAAAAGCACTAAGAGGGCATGACAGTTTCCTATTGTTAGGTGGCTTTTCTGCTTTGAACTCCTGAATATATTCCTACACTCTCTATACTTGGGTGATTTTTATCTTGCATCCAGCACAACCATATGTCATTTGCATTTTACTTTTTTGCTACGGAGAATTCCATTCACTGCTTCTGTGGGTCAAATTATAATATTGGAGCCTCCTAAAATTATATCCATGAAATGCCTCTTTATTTAAGCTGTATCAAACCATTTAAATAAACTGTATTTTTAAATTACTTACACACCTTGTAACAACTGATAGGATTTAATGAAGTCTTGAGGCCGTTACCTTTAAAGATGATTTGGCCCGAGGTTCTGTTTTCTGCCTGGTAAGTCTGCTTTGAATGAGCAGTGACTGATCTGTGCGAGTGTCGTAATTCCCGTGTTCCGAGTCATCCGTGTACGTGTCTTTGGCCTTTCCTATCTCTGGAAAAGCAGAACAAAACAGTGGGCTCATTTTAAGGTTATCATAGAGAAACTAATGATAATGACGTAGCTATTGTTGATGTTGGATATTCTAAGTACCCACTTCTCAGTGGTTTGCATTTTATCTTGTCCTACAAAAGCTGAATTATTTGAAATAATACAATGCTTGTCTCAAACTAGAAGCAACTATTTTGGGTTAGAAAGCCTACAGACACTTCTTTCTCCTACCATCCAACCGAAAAAAGCCCACAACGTTCTTCACAGCAGTTAAAAAAACAGAAGAAAAAACTCATAAAGTGACATAAAGCAAATATTCAGAGGCTTTTGGACTTGATTCACAACTTTTGAAACTTATAAACATGGATAGGAGCATCCTGGAGACATAATAAATTTAATAAAATTAACCGACGTAAACGCCTGATTATTACAGGCACTTTTTAACGCAGGTAGGAAAGCAGTTAGTTTTGGGGAAAAAAATAATTTTCCAGATTGAAAAAAAAAAGAGGAATTATTTCAATACAGTTATACCTTGGGCAAACTGCAAATACATACACATGCTTGAAAGTTCCCCCAACTCCTGAGCCAAGTTCTCACCTCAGCTTTCACGTGAACATGGTAAAACTGGCAAGAGCATTTAGCCCAGTAACTCTAAACCCGAAGCAGAAGTCAAGAAGCAAGTCATGGTTGCTGTGGGGACTACAGTCTTGAATGCCCTCATTTTTATATTCCTACAGACTCATATGCAATGGCACAGAATTTTGCATTGAACTGAATGACTAATTCCACATGGAAAATATTACAGAAAAAAAAAAAACCACAATTATCTCATGTAGCCCATACATTACTAACATGGAATATTAAACTGCAAGATTTAGAGAGATTTGTTTTTTCATTTATTTAGTCACTTGTATAGCAATTACAAAACTGAGCCCTCACTAAATTTTGGTGTTGATATAAACCTCAATAAATCTATGAAAGGATTTTTTAATGTCTGAAATAACGCATTTGGATTGATAGAGATTCTACCTGAGGGATTTTGTTCTAAATAAGCAATGTTTTAATCTAATATACAGGTTTTAATCTAATATACAGTCAATAAGGAGCGCAGGAAAAAGACTGAAGAAGGTTTCAGACAGAAGAGGTAGTAAAGAGGCTTAAGCCCCTGTGTGGATCTCCCAGATGTGATGAGCTGTTAGAGGTACTGAAGATCAGCACCTTGGAACAGAAGCCAGTGAAAGGAAGAGATAGGCAAAGGAAACCTCAGCTCCTACATCTAGGCTGGATCCCTGACTTCAAAGGAGGGTTTATAGAAGTCTACTTCTAGGAGGGAAGTTTTGCCAAATTTGACATGATGATTACATCTAATACTCCAAGAAAACTTTGCAAAAGCACTTACAGATTAGTTTAAATAATTCTCAGATATGAAATGAATTTCCATTTTTTACTGAGTATAGCATTAATAATTCTTAAAAGTTTTTATATTTTCTAGAGAACAGCCTTAAATTGTAGCATGTATTTTCTGTTAAAAAATTACCTTCCTTTTAGATACCTGCTCTCTCGGCTGAAATGTAAGCACAATATTCATAAAAATATGTAACAAAAATTAAAATTAAAAAGATAGGTTTCTTAAATATTTAAAATTGCTATTGTATATTTTAACAAATGATTATTTATTTTATGCACCTAAAGGAATGTCTTATAAGGAATGAAGATCACAGCAGAGCATTTCATGATCTCACCTGAATAACTATTTGTTTTACAGGAGTCTAAGTACATATGTTAGACTGAAAGCCATAGTGAAGTGTACATAACATGTGCTTTTGTTCTTAATATTTGCATAGTTATAGATATTACACAAATTCCAGAAACGCGGAATATTTGCTCCATTCTCTTTTGCAACATATATCACGTATTAATGACATGTTGTCAATGACAACTTTAAAATAATTTTACTTAAAGAAAAACATAACACACAATCTAATACTATATTCTAGACAACTGTAGGATAATGCAATGTAACAACTGTTTTTCATTTTAAACATGGCATATACATGAAAAAGAAAGCATATATATAAAAAATCACTCCTAAATAATTGTTGTTTCACAAATTTAGGTAACATGATTCATGTTCGGTCCTCTTCCTTTACACATTTAGGGCTAGACCTCATAGGCTTTAGTCAGAATGAGATTATAGCTTGGGAAATTAATCCCTTTTTACTCTCATGTTAATCCTAGAAATGACAGAATCTGAGCATTTCTATGTCAGGTAATCTGAGCACTTCTATTAATGACAGAAATTAACAGACACCTAAGCAGGGTACTAAAGGGCACCTAGAAAAGCTGCATTAGCACTGATCTTGTTTTATTCTGCTAAGCCACGAGGCTAATATATGGCATATATAACTCAGAAGGTCTCAAGGCAAAATTTTCGAGTTGCCTATACAACATGTGTACTCCTATATTAAACACCACTGCAACTAGTAAGTGCAGGTTATTTTTTCTTAGTATGCAGCTTCTCGGGGGCTTTCGCACAGTGGTAGCCATTACAGAGAATTGTTTACGAATACTCCTTTTTTTTTTTTTTTTAATTGGTATTATTGCAGTTTGGAGGAGTTAAGACGGTCTGTGAAACGGGCACAGGCAGATCAAATCAACTTTTAGTTACAACCTGCATTTAACCACTAACAAGTAATGCAGTGTGCGGTTATTGGGACATTTGGCTTCACTGCTCGTTTTGACTCTGTTTCGCACTTCCCAGGTCTCTACATTGCAGCACAACACATAAAACTTCACAGCATCTGGCTGAGGAAGGTATTCAGAATGGGAAGTCTCCCTTATGGCGAAATTAAGAAATGAATCATTCATTGCCAAGCTCCTATCAAGGAAGGATCTACTGTTATACCAAGGAAACACCAATTATGAGGCATAAAATCCACATGATTGACCTAATTCAGCCACAGCTGAAAAAAGAACAAATCAATAGGAATGTTTCTTCTGCTGACAAAAACTGCCAAATAATTTAAAATTAGATGTTCCTTATAGCTAAATTCCAAATGACAATTATCATTGTTTATATTCACCCCTTACTTTTGACATTCCTTACTTACTTGGAGATTTCAGCCTGCCATTGTGTAGTGCATTTTGACACTGGGGAGGGCCGGCGTCCGCCATCATTTCTCTCATCATGTAGACCGCTACCCTGTGTGCCTTTTTTTCCTTTTTGTTAAAACAAGCAATTTGGACCTTTAGGTAGTATCTTCATAAGTAATCCTGTTATAAACGTGGCCCACAGTCTTTAAAAGTGAGCATGAGAGCAGGAAATCAAACTATCATTAACGATAGTAACTAAAACTACAAAAAATTACCTAGTAGGTGGACAAACACATTGCGTGTCCTTCCATTTACTATTACATGTCCCAAAATTTCACTATTCCTGCCTAAGGAAGGTCCTAAAGCCAAGGGATGATTTGAGAAGAGACCAGCCTGCACAGTGGAATAGCTGCATATAGGAGACTGCTGATCTCAGTTACAACAAGTAGCAAGTGCTTCTTGCTAGGAAAATCGGATTACTGAAGTAAACAAATTTCCCTGTAAACCACATAAATTGACTTTAACCTAAGAATGCTTAGTTTTCAATTCAGAAATAAATAACTGCTAGCATTTCTTACGCTCAGAAGTACACTCAAAATGCTAAGAAGTTACATAATTATTAATCATTATCTCATAATTGTTACAGTGGCCACTGAAGAGGATGCTTTTGTAACTGGAAATGCAATTCTAGTATAAATAGTAACACCTTTCCCCATTCATCAAAATGCTTTTCATCCATATTTTTTAGAAAAAAATTGCAACCACTAGAAGTGAAGGATCATTCCCTTTCTCTGGTCAATTTTCCTTGAAGAAAATGCCATGTCCCTGAGCCCAATACATTTATGGCCTCATCTAGAGCCAACTGAAGAGAGAACCTTCTTGCTGATATCAAGTCTTTTATCTGATGCCTATTAATCCCCTTCTCACGAGAAGACAGGTCAGTCCATGGATACCTCCAGTTCTGGAAGAGGAAAGCCATTTGGCCTACTTTGTGGATGCCTCGATGCTGCTGTCTAATTAAAAATTTACCACATTTGCTTAATTCAGCATTCTTTAAGGTTCTCCAGAGAGCACTTTGAAGTAGCTCCCTAAGAAGATGAGAGCCATTAATCAGCCTATTTTGCAAACTCCATTAAAGTGCCAAAGTGGACAGCGCAGGGAGTAATGCTGCATCATTCCACTCATTGGTGAGCAAAGCTGAAGCAGCAATAACACCTTTTGCTTTTGAGAAGATAAACAAAATCTCTAGATTTATAAACTAACCCTTATCTGCAAAAACAGGACCCCCATACACAAATTATCTGTACTTTCAAGATGTACAGAATTGCAATCTTTTTACCTTTCTCTGAGTTCTCTTGAACTTTAATAATAATGCTGATTTTTATCTAAAAATATTTGCAGTATTGATTTCTTGATTTTTTTTAATAAATATTGCTGTCTTGCTTGCTTTTAGTTGAACATCCTGAAACAGTAAATACTGATTCACTTCATTTTCACTGATTCATTTACTTCAGTAAATACTGAATAACCTTCCTGACTTCACTAATTTAGGATTTATTCAATTAACACAGGCAAATTAATGCTGCAATTTCCCATTAATACAGGCAGGTGCAAGTCTAAAACCCTTGGGAAACCTCATTAACTCCATCCGTTGAAAAGATGATTTTTTTTCCTGGTATTTGCCCACATCACATCACATATAATATGTACAAAACATTATATATTGCAGATGTGTTACTTAAGTCTTTTCAAGGCTGGAGCGGGTCGAGCAACCTGTACCTCTTGCTTGGAACCTGCTGCACTTGCAACAACAACAAGACTCGTAAGAATGACTCCTTTCCTCGTTTCTTTGGACTCAAAGTAAGTATCACAAAGTATCACAAATATGTCCCATAACAGCTTTCCCCGCCCCCCCCTCCTTTTTCTTGTTTTGTTTTGGTTTTTTTGTGGGTTTTTTTTCCCTTCCAAAATAGTTTAAAAAAAAAAAAAACTAAAAGTAACACTACTTTTGTCCAAAACAACAACATAAAGCAACAACATTTATAGACACGACACTTCTGAACTACACGAATATATAGGAAAAAAAGTTTGCAAAGGAATTTTAACTACACGCTTGCAAGCAACAATATAATGAAGGGCTGCCATGGAAACACCGCAATACTTAGATGGACTTGAAAGGAGTACAGAGAAACAACTGGAACATCTATGTGCCTGATTTGGGGAAACTAAAGCTTTCGCTCTTAAAAACTCTTCAGCAATTTATAACAGAGAAAAATTTAGAAAACTGTCAAGAGCAAATTGAAGCTACTTTTCCACATTGTCCCCATTCGCTACAAGTTTAAAAGGTGACAAGGTATTAGAAAACTTTACAAAATTTCCCTTCTCTACTATCTACGAGAGCATCTATTTGTCTAGTCACATTCTCCTCTTGCAAACACCTCAAAAGTTCAGATAAGCCAAGATTTTCATTTGTCAGACACTGCATGTGTAACAGAAGTATCCTTCATTTATTATTATTTCAGTTCAGGTATAAACTTACCTAAAAATGGATCACTGTATTCTGTGTTAGACAATTGGAGCAAGTTGTTTTCCAGTGTTTCCATCACTTTCGCTGAAATAAACACACAATACTTTATAGCATATGCACATATTTTATAAAATAAATACATATATAAATAAATCCTAAAAGAGAAGCCTGCTCCTACATTTCAGACTTAAAGGCATCTACTGCAGAGTTACCAGCATTTCTGTTTTCTCGCAGCTCTGGGACAGACTGCAGAAACCTTCATACTGATCTCCAGCATATGTGAGCACTCTCTTGCTTTGTTTTCAGGGGAAGCCAACAAGTCCCCAAAGGAGAAGTGACCAGCGCTTACCTCGCTCCGACACCACGTCCACGGTCGCCGAGGACGTCCCCGCGCTGAGAGGCTGGGGCTGCACCCGGTTTGGCTGCAGAAAGGAGGAGTGCTTGGTGAGGCTCTGCGGGTGCGTCTGGCTCTGCGCCAGGCATGGCATCGATCTGCGCGAAGGCTTTAACGGGTGCTCTTTCACTGTCTCGCTCTTACTCGTGTTCATGCCTGGAAAGAAACAAACAAGAGAAGAAGATGAAGCTCTGCAACCTTAGAGGGGAATGAAGTGATACTTCATTTCTACCCACCTTATAAGTACCTCTCCAACTCAAAAATATGTTGAACTGGTGAACCTATTAGCCTCTTCCTAGTTTTACCTCAGGGACACACGTATCTTTGGGTTACTGCAAGTACTGCCTCAGTTTTAGGTTCATGTGCATAGAGAGGCGTGCACACCAGTTAACTCAGTGGTAGCTCCAACAACATTTGAGAAACCAGATTGTTACTTATGTGAAAAAATAGTTTTGGGAGATCATTTTTGCATCGATTATGCATAGTTTAAAAAATTCCTTATTGAGTTTGTCACATCATAATATCCTAAGTTCATGTTTCCAAAATGTATCTCACAAAATTTAGATAGTAAGATAGTTACAATCTCCTCACACAGTATTTTGAATATTCCCATTGTGCTTGGACAGAACTTCAAATACAAAAAGCATAAGGACATCACCCACTTTTAAATTATCAATTAACATATGTAAATTGAGACCATAAATAACTTCATATTTCTATGACAGAAGACTATAATTAATTTCAAAAGCGGGATATCTCCAGAAAACATAAAGGCTTTTTTCTAATTTCTAAGCTATTGCTTTACTAATTGTATTACCTTTCTTGTGATTTTTGCAATGAGCACACATGTAATTTTACTATTTTATTTGCTTTTTGGAGGCATTTGAAAACAACTGCCAGCTATAACTGAAAACTTTCTTTGAGAACTGCACTTTTTAGAGACCTACTTCCTAGGAGAGAAATCTGAATGAAAAGTCAGGACTCACTTTTTCTATATTGAAGGCAAATTAATTTGCGTCTAGGAAACATGTGGAGGTATAACTCTGTGCTTAACTTAGTTAAAGCACTTAACATTGCTTAACTATGTTTAACTTTAACGGTAATAACTGTTAAAAATAGTACATCAAACAACAACATCAAAAAACCAGAAAATAAAAAGAAATAGAAAGGAATTATTAGGAAGTTAAAGTAATATATCATCTTTTCTCAGCAACATCTATTTGTCTTGTGCGTTTCTCAGAGTGAGACTCTCATGAATGTCAAAACGCAGTTATTCACGTTGACTAAGTGACTAGATCCTCCCAAAATGTTCCTACAGACTAAAACTAATGTGCTGTTTTATTCAATGTTCATGTTTTCACCCCTATTTGCTATGAGGCTGTTTCTCAGCATTTTCCGAAAATGTCATGTATCATTAGAGAAGACATGACAAAAGTCAAGCGTTTTCTCAGGCACTTTTTTAAAATGTCTAACTTATCTCTATGTGGATTTTTGTCTGTCTTGTCTCTAGAAGCTGAATACTTTTATACTACATACGTCATGACCTTTTTTTTGTTTTTCTTTCTCCTCTCTCCATATGATGCACATGGACCACAAGAGAACTAGGTGAGCGTACCAAATTGCTGCCATGGGCAATGAGTAAACTTTTAAACAGCTTTGGAAAATACTGAAAGAAACTTGTATTTCCTCTTGACCTGATTTCATTCTTCCAGGCCTTCCTGTTGTTTGCAGAACAGTATGCGCTATTTGTCAGTGCGACTGGTCGCCTGTTTTGAGTAGACAGCAATCGTTATTTCCATTCAAAAAATACACAACTATTCTTTCAAATGATCATTTTACCACTGTTCATCCCATTTCATTCCCATTTTAGATTCCTTCCCAAAATCATTACAACAAGCAACGGCTCCAAGACGTCACATTTTTGTTGCACACGCTAATTCTGCTCAGGAAACCACATAGTGCAATTGGCTGTTCTGGTGTTTAGCACAAATAAAGGTTAATACATGCTATAAACATTGCCAATACATCTACTGCACAAAGGCCATTAGGAGACTGCAAGGTATCAATTTAATAAAAAACTAATAGAGCTAAAATACAGATGCTGATGGCATCTGTATATTCCAGAGTGTGAAAGATTTACAGAGCAAAGAAATTGCAGAGCAAACTTTCCCTTTGCAAAACTGCATTCTTGCTCTTGGTTGTCTTCCCCATTGCGTACCTCTTGGTGAAAAAGCATTGCCAAAGCCCACAGGAGGAAGAAAAAGCATTCCAAGATATTAAAACAGAACAGATGAGAAATGATTTGCAGGAGGGGAAAAGAAACCCTCCTACACACAATTTCAAGATACAGGGAAATTAAGAAGCGTTCCTAACTTTTCCCAGAGGAAGAGCTCATCACTGCGCAGCTCCAGAGGCAGCCTCCCGCCTGCCGGGAGAGCCGTCTGCTTTTCCGTCGGCGAGAAATGCAGCTCCAACGCACACGGGCACATTGCAGAAATGAAACGCAGTCCTGAGCAAAGCTGGGAAATCTTTATGACAAGGACACTGAAACAACCTATGGCTACAAACATACATTACTATGGTCCCTCCCAATGCTATAGGGCAGGGGCAAACAGCTGCCAAGCACCTGTGCTGAGCCACACAAGCCTCCAATCCTGCTGGGAAGCGGGCAAAGGCCTCCAGTTTGTCCAGGCTCCGCAGAGCTGGGACTGCTGCACACCACAGCAAAGATCCTTAGAGGATTGGTATGGGGGGCGGCTTAACAAGTCAAACAAATTTGTTTGATTACTATAACATCTTAATTGTAGCCAAACCCTGTAAAGCAACAGTTTGCAGCAATAGCTGTCAGGACACTTAGTCCAAACTGCAAACGTGCTTCTACAGAATGAGACAAAACACAGCTAGATTTCAAAGAGCACTAGATTTGGCAGGTTTCGGAAATCAATGCCTTTAATATGATCCTACAGCTGAAGAATAACTTTCCTCTGACTGGAGAATGCAGCCTCCCAAAAGAAACTTCGCTTATGCTGCTTGCTCCATCAGAGGCCCCAAGGCAGCCGGCAGGAAGGCAGCAACACGTTATTTCAGGAACTGCATGCGCCGAGCTTCGATTTTATCATCACAAACACAGAGGCTACTCCATTTCTCACAGAATACTTGTATGCGAGTAAGCTGGAAATGTACCTGTACTTTCCTTCTTAGACAAAACGTAGAACTGAATCGGATGAGCTATGGTTTCATTTTATGTTTTTAGAGGGGAAAAATAAACGCCCCAATAACAACGTCTTTATATAAGCGCATAACCCTGCAGTCCTGCTTGTGAAGGCAACACAAACCAGTCACACTAACAAGGGGAGAAAACAGGCTGCAAAAGCACAACCTATTTCTCTGAAATAGCCTATCACCCGAGAACATGGTCCCCAGTTTTCTTTTACAATCCCTTTAACTGTCTTTACCCTTGTGAAATAAGCAACATTATTCCCATTAAATGGGAATTGGCTTCTAGGCTCACCAAGGAACACATTCTGAATAAGCATAAGGCTCTGGGATTTTTCATGTTCATCACACACGGCAGGTTAAACTAATTTATGAAAGTGTTTGTGAAATAATATGAAGTTTAATGATGGAACGAGTCATTTCTTTGAAGACTGTTTTCAGTTAATACCATAAACATACTTACATTTTTTGCCCTCACACATCTCACTTATGGAGGCCTGTGGACAAGGAAGCACCTTGGGAACACCACGCTCCTGCTAGTTTTGTTCTCCAAAGCCAGAGGTGCGAGGAAGGGGCTCAGTCTTCCAGTTCAAGCAATGAAGTGGGATTATCTAAATACATTCTCCAATGAAGCACACACCATAGAACTTAAAAATGAGGTGTAGATCAAATAGTGTTTGCCAGGATTCAGATATTTGCTGAATCCTGGTATATCAGTTACCAGTGATAGTTCATTTCCTACAGATCTGAAAATTCCTCATATTGTCCCTTTGGGCTATAATTCTTTCATGGACAGTGATTATCTTTTAAAAATAGCCACCCCTTGCAGAAATCCTGGTCTGAGAGGCTGTTTCTCAAGAAGAGTTTCAAAGCTGTGTCCCAAAATGCTTCCTGCTGGCCTGCCCTCCGCCTAGCCAGAGATTCAGTCCTCCCGACCTCTACATCCCAGCACAATGATGCTTCCAGGTCATTACTAAAAACACCAGCTCGGGTTAAAAAAAATGATCCCTAGAGAACTGCCCTGGGGTGGGGGCTGAAAAGTGAAGAGTTCCTTTACTATTTTTAATGTTAAGCTTTATCTGCAGGTTTTCATTGGATATCTCCATTTATGCGGGATTCTGTTCAGTCCCTGGAGAAAACCATCATCACGTAGATGGTTCACGTCTGTGATGCCAAGTGGAGCGAGCCGCTCATGCAATGTGGTATAA